TCATCCGTCTTCTTGTGGGGATTCTCTCGCCGGGACAATTCTGCGACAATTCTGAAGGGCAGTTTGCAAAATGGGAATGGATAACGATTCCACTTCGATAGGACGCGAGATCTTAGGTTTCCTATCATCATCGTGATTTGTGTTATGGGATTCGAATGTTGTCCTCTGATGTGCATAGATGAGAACAAACAGTTCGATCAGTTGCACAGTGATTGACACTATCCTACTTTTCTCTCCGTCCAATTTTCAGTTCTCTCTTCTCTCTCTATCTTAGTTTGATCGATAGATGCACACTGTTGTTGGTTTCTAACAGGGTTGACGCAGTTTTTCTGCACTTCCCAACTTTTCCCTCTGTGTATGTGTGTGTGTGTTGAGGGGTGGGGTGGAGGGATGAGTTTCGCTCCGCCATCCAAATCTGTTTTCTATGAACTCCAATGGTGCTATTCACACGAACAGCTTGACCGTGTACTTTGGATCATTTGACTTTTGTAGTGCCAACAGGATGAGGGGACTGAATACAGTAAGTAGCCCACTCAGTCACCGTAATTTCAATGTTTTCACTTTGGTTCTCCACATCTTGTGAGTATATTTCTCCGTCTGTTTGTCTGTGTCTCCTGATCACGCTTATCGGATTTTGGTGGATTGCTCTAGTTACTTCTGTCTAACTATTACATGGCTACCGCATTGGACCATGCAAGTTGATTCCATGGATGTGCAGGTGATGAGAGCGTGTGGTTTTGTCGCGGAAAATTTGAGTCATTATTATCATTATTACTGTTATTATTATTATTATTACTATTATTATTATTAATATTATTATTATTATTAGAGCAATGTCCAACGCTGTTCCAATGTACGTCTGTAGATAGATAGTAGTGTCAATATGATTTAGCTCCTTCTCAACAGAATTGTCATACATCTATCTGGATTTTCGTTAAAAAAAACGGATTCCGGCTACGGACAAGAACGAAACAGAGTGAACAACACAGTGAGCAGGAGGTTGTGTGAGTTCGAACCCACGCACCACCGCGCATATTTCCCATTTGTGTCTATCCTCAGGTTGCGTTTGATTGAACGTAGCCCCCTTACTCGGGACCGACCGTACCATCATTATATACGTATTGAATACAAAGGAATTAAGATGATCCGTATTATTGTGATCCAGGTTATTATTAGAAACTCGTTCATATGACTGTTGCATCACAATACAGACAGATGTATGCATTCCATGGATCCACATCGTTAGATTTATCTGGACCTGGACGTAACAAATTTCAATTCAATTTTTCCTCATGCGGATTGTACTCTCCGTGCTTGTTGCACGTGATTGGAACCATCGCGTTACCATGGTTAGTTAGTTAGTTAGTTAATAGTTGTAATTTTAGCCAAGCTTGTTTTTTTTCCTCGCATTTGTGTCAACCTTGTTTATTGTTTACTCGCCATCGGTTTTGTGTTCTCATCCCTCGCTATCTGTTATTTTCAAAAATGGCGCCTTTCAGTGACTTGATCAACTGTTTGATACTCTCTCTCTCTCTCTCTCTCTTTCTGCTTTATTTTATCCAACTCACCGTCACCCCCACCCCACCCCACTCCACATTGTGAACTGTGACAAACCAGCCCCGTCAGATCGACCGTATTCGCAAAGTGTTCACGGTCTGTCCCAGCTGGGCACTCCACGCTCGCGAATGAGCACCGCGAACGGATTGGTCGTGCTCACACAGACCGATGTGGATAGCGCCACACCGAACGGACTATCCCCGACCGGGATGAACGATTCAACCACAGACTATGATGGCCTTACAGGCAACACTTTGAGCTATCCAAGTGTACTGCTCACATCCACACCCAGTGTTCTGTTCCACAAACCGACACCACCACCTCCGCCAAAGGTAAGCATTTGTTGTTGTTGTTGTTGTCGTCGTCGTCGTCAGGCCTAACTCCTCTCATGCTCCCTACATTTTTCAAGTGTTTTTATTGTTTTTCGTAGTAGTATTTTATTGGTAATCATATTCTGATGAGACAGAATAATACCAATCCTTTTACCCCAGTTGAACGAATCGAATAGTCCGACATCACAGTAGGGGGAGGGACTGTAGCAGTTCGACCAGTTCTGCTTTACGGTGCACAGACTTGGTTGACCATTACGGGAACAGGATAACAATAGATTGTCGACTGTGTTCGAACACAGCTGTCTACATCACACTGCACAAATCTGGTGGGATAACTGGACAAGAAATGCTGAGGTTCGGCATAGAGTTTTTAGGCAGTCGCGGTCGTACATCGGAGCATGTGGTCAACCTCCATAGACTAAGCTAGCTTGTCTCCAACTAAGACCTGACATGAGGGGTATGAAATACCGAACTAGGACACTGGGTCACATAGATCCCGTTAAGCTCCCCAGATAGGGACGCCAAGATCATGTTAACGGGTGGTTAGAGACACTGAGTGGTATGGCAGGGTGTCGCAAATGGTGGCGCTCGTGCATCTTGCAACCTCATGGTATATGAATTCTCTGCCTTCCCTTTGACTCTGTTCTCAACATTTGATTCTTCATTCTTCTCTTTTATCGGAATGGGCAACCGAAAGACTGCAATCAAAACCGGTTGCATAGTTGTAGAAACTGAAATGAAACTGAGGGATGATGTTTTTATTCACGGACCAGAAAATGGCACTACCGGTTACATCTGTTCTCTCTCTCTCTCTTGTCATATTCGACACAGCACATGTGCATTCTTCTCTGTCGCTTGAAATTATTATTGTCTTTTTTTCTTCCCTAGCTCTTATTGTTGTCAAACTGCACACCTCCACCTCCTCCGTAAAATCTGAAGCAAAAAATAGTTCACTGGAACTTTTGATCAATGGGAATACAGTGCAACTGTCCCCGGAAATCCTCTTCCTCCCGCCACATACACACACACACACACTCGCAAGCGCACAATCATGGAAATGATTTCACAACAGTTCGATTGGTTTCTAATCGCTGGACCAATTTGATTGTTCACGTGATTGTTTTTTCATTATTTTGTCTGGCCTCGTCTGGTATGTACTTTAACCACGAGATGACAGTCGCGTGAAAATCGATACGATCGTGATCGTTTTGGTGAACCGGTTGGATAGCGAAACTATCACTGGTTTCAGTTCACTTATGGGTCTGACAGTTTTTGGCCGATCGAATTCGCATAACCACTAAGAGACTGGAATTCATATGCTCGGTTGACATTACTATTCAGTATATCTATCACACTGTGCAGCAGGATAGAGTGAGGCGTGTTATTTACCGATCGGTACCCAGCTCACAATGAGCATAAAACCAAGTGAGAATGTACACAGATGGGCGGAGATTAGGCCTAATTGGAGAGAGCGAGAGCGAGAGAGAGGGAGAAGAAAGTGAATCTCTATGGTCAATACTCAAAGTACACAATCTAACTGTGCCTATATACCGTTTTTCTGTCATTCCGATAGCATGGGAACTGACAACAAGAATACCGCTGTTGTCAGTTCGGTGGTATGTCCTTCGTTGTCTCCGACCCACCAGTTGCAGAATCTTTCGGACACCTACTCTACCCTAATCGCTCCTGTGCACTTCCTCATACCTCGTCTCTCCTCCATGTCCGCTGTTGACCTCCACGTGATTTTCCTCAGCCTGCAAGTAAAGTGCGTTGCTTTAGCTGAATCATTACGAAATACGCGACGGTTTACCTCAGATTTATTCACACGCACCAGACCACGCATGCATACATACATCAACAGTCCAATACTTCTACATGATGAATATCTGCCGGCATGTAAATTAAAACTTTCACAATCATAAATTCAAACTGACCGCTCAACGGAGCGGTATACACGACCGTTCAATTTCAAGGAAACATAACACATTGGCACCAAAAGTATTTTAGTCCTGCATACGCTGCGCGTGTCTAAAAACATTAAGGGTGGATACTGTTTTGCATGTTCCAGTTTCATCAGGTTTTTGGTTATTTCGGGAGTTTTGTGCGAAACTCGAATGATTGTCTAGTTGAAAAGTGAAAATGTCTTCCTGTCCAGTTCTGAATACAGTTGTTAATGCGAAACACTATGCCGATATAGGTCTACCGAACGACCCGTAATCAGCCACAGTCAACGATCGTCAGATTTGAACAGTTGACAGCAGTTTCGGTGCATATCGACGCATGTACCACCCAATTAGTGCTGATATCGACCAAACATTTTTTTTGAACTTGTCACTAAATACACGTTGTCACACGCGTGCATCAAACCGGTCGGAACGATTAGATATCGTTCCATATTCCGTTACGTGTTGAGAAAACGGAATGTCAAAATCCGGAATGGAAGTGTACCACGTTCGTCACAGTCTCCGCCACATTCGGCTTTTGTAGGCTCCACTCACTATACAATCGACTGAGCGCCATTATTCTCGGTCAAGTTCGAATATAGGAGTCCGGTTTTGTACGATTAGTCAAGTCAGTTCTGTGTGCCTGAGCGAGCGCGCACACACACACACACACACACACGATGTGGCCGAATCACTCTTTCTCCTCCTCGTCCCCGTCCCCGGTGCATCATCATCGAGCGCGTCTCGCACGGTCGTACACACACTACTCCACACACGCGAGCTCGCGCGCGCGCGCACGCGGTATCTTACATGCACCCTCGACTTGCGGTTGTGACCGACGGACCAAGTCCATTGCTGACTGTTTATATACCGGTTGTCAACATTGGAATTGGTGATCTCATTGTGGACCCGCCCACCCATCCACCTGCATGAGGTACATAACTATTTTACAGATTTTGATTTACCCGCACAATATTGACGCGATGTGAATCAACCGATGGTTTTGGTTTCGGGCACGAATCACACATACTAGACCGGTGTGTTGAAACCGTTCACCAATCTGCGGTCTGTCTGAAGTCCACGTTTTCACTGGGCAACTCGAGTCGGGGGCCATACACCATCATCATCCGAATCATCATTCATCGAATACTAACCCCGTTTATTTCATATGATCGAATTGATTGAATTGGTGCTTTTTGGTCCCGATCGAAGATCACGCTGTTCACAGTCGTGGAGTATTGTGTTTTCACAACGGACTCCTGTTCCACTGACCACCGCTTTGAGTTCAGTTCAGTTTGTACAACCATTAACCATGCACTATGGTGCGCCGGTTTTGGTTGCTGTCTTATGGCTGCTCATTTGAATGAAGAATAGACGAAGAAAGAAAAGTTGAAAGTGGAGTCGAACAGAAAATGAAGAAGTTCAGTGGTCTAAGATTGCAAAGAAATTGAGGAGATGCATGAACGTCCTTGTTTGCGACACCCAGCCATATCACTCAGTGTCTCTAACCATCGGTTACGATCATCCCGAGGTCCCTAAGACACCCAGCCATATCGTTCAGTGTCTCTAACCATCGGTTACGATCATCCCGAGGTCCCCTGCTCAGTGTCTCTAACCATCGATTACGATCATCCCGAGGTCCCCAGCCAGGGAGCCTAACAAAACCTATGTCATCCAGTCTCCCATACCCTTGTGCCAGGTCTTAGCTTGACCACCCTTGGCTTTTTTCCACTCGGTATCTGCTTCGGCTAACATCGCTCGCCGTGGTAACCTACCTGGTGACATGCATAACACATGTCCCAACCAACGTAATCTATGGAGGTCGATCACTTGCTCCCGTGGGAGACCGCGATTGCCTGAAACTTTTCGCCTGACCTCAGCATTGTTCGTCCGGATTCGTACAATGCTGCGTAGACAGTGGTGTTCGAACACCGACAGTCTATATTTGTCCTGTTTTCTTAATGGCCAAGTATCTGCCTCATATAGCAGAACTGGCCAAACTACTGCAGTATACACTGGACACTTCACAGACAGCCTGATATCGTGACGGCGCCACAGATGTCTCAAGTTGGCAAATACCAACCGAGCCTTCTGTATGCGAGCAGACACTTCATCCGTAATGCGTCCACCAGGTGAGATGTAGCTGCCCAAATAACAAAACTTATTCACGTGCTCTATTACTTCCCCAGTTAAAATGAGGCTGGGTGCTGGGCCAACCCAGTCTTGTAGTAACATTTTACACTTTGAAGGTGCAAAACGCATACCGAATATGGCTACGCTGGCATCCAAGTTATCCAGAAATGCTTGCAACTTATCTGGATCTTCACTTANGGAGTAAATCGATGCCACTATCCTCGCACGAGGATAGGGCTGTTTCAATCAGACTATAACAAAGTCAAAAAGAATGAAGAAAGAAGGCAACCCTGACGAACACCACTTTCCGTGGTGAACTCGGACGAAAAAGTGCCGTAAGCCCGGACTCGACTTCGGCTATGAGTATAAACGAACTCGAGCGAAAAATTGCCGTAAGCCCGGACTCGACTCGGGGAGCATAGAACGTGCTTGCCGCATAGGATCTTCTCAATACTGGATTTATTTCCGGGTAACGTTTTCTCGTCCATAGGTAGGTAGTGAGATAGAACACAGCTGGAAGCANNTTATTGGAAAAAGTGAGGGCAGGGAAATGCATATATCAAATGATTGGTTGACTGGATTGTTATCAACCGCCTCCATTGGTTGACAGTTCCGGTCAATCTCCTGAGTTCACCTGTCGATGTTCTTGATTGGTTGTCCCAGAACAAAGTAGTTTTCAGGGAGCGTGCTATCACCTTGACATCTATCATCGACAGGGTTTGAACTTCGTATCTTAGAATCGTAAAACAATTTGAAATTAGATGGCACAATCCAACATTAACACTTCTTCTCGACCAAAGTAGTATCCTACTAATTTATTAAAAATAACGTTAGGTGTTCAATTATTCTGGTTGCTTATAAGTCATATTTCTGTTGATGTAGCTACTGCACGAACCGGGAATGGTTTCTTGTGGACAATGTGCCCATTTCAGTACTTCGCTCTTTCGGTCAGATCAATCACGATTAAAGCCA